GCTCATCAGCCTCTGCTTTAGTGGCACAATCCTTCCCCTCAATATCCTCTCCCTTGCCTTTCTTGCCTGGAACAACAAAAACCCAACATAAACATCCTCTTAACAAGGTAGAATGAGGCCATGTTTAAGTAAAAAGGATTAGAATGGTAATCATAAGAGAGATCGGGATTATCAAGAGATTATAGTTAGAAAGTAGACCTGCTTTTCCCAATTTGTACTAGTTGTTACAAAAGAGGGCAAGATGGTTTGCACCAAAGAACCAACTTGTATTCCAATCCAGAGTCCCCTTCCTCTAAAATGCACCCAGAAAGCCAATATTGCAGCAACTGGAATTCCACAAAGATAAAATGCTCCAAGGTTTATGTAAGCCCCTATATGCTGCCACTCAGTTCCTCTAGCAACACCTGATTTTACCGTTGACAAAAGTATATAACACAAGATTGAAAACTTTATTCCTAAGCAAGATGCTTATCTGCAGAAAAGATTGAGCATTTAACTTACCTGTAAGGACCCCTTGAAAGCTGTCTAGTACAAGAGATAGGCAAACTAGAGGAGCCATGGTTACGACATAATCAATGACGTCTTTCTCATTGCTATAAATGTAACCAAATACATGCCGGCAGGCATAGAGGGTTGTGGTTTCTATACTTGTCTCTGTGACTGCTAGAAACATCGCAGCACGAGTAGCTAAACGAGCACCTTCTGGGTTACCAGCTCCTAGTTCATTTGCAACTCTAGTACTATACAATTCCCAAGAATAAAGAAAGAAGATCAAGTTACTACTTTACTTATTATTTATGCAAATTTAACTGCTTTGACATTATTAGTATTATAGTATACAAATATGAAATCTGATGGCATGTGTTTGAACAAACCTTGCTGCAGCACCAAACCCGTATGGTATTGCTAGAGTGTCGAAATGGTTTGGAGACTGTCCACCAACAGTAGCTAGTATTACAAAGAGACCAATTCCAAATTGAGAAACTGGTTTTAAAATTTGTACTAATTTTTAGAAGATCTTCCTCGGTATCTGAAGGTGAACAAAAACAGAAAACTTACCATACAGACAGAACTGAAGTTTCAAGAGCTGGATTTGGTAAAAGCCCAGACAGCAAGATAAGCAGCTCGAATGACCACCACTCAAGGCTACAATCATCAAGAAGAATCAATAAGAAAGGACATTGGAGATGGAATATTTTATGAAAGCATAAGGAAAACTTTTCTAAAATAGCTACCATGGCATGAGTGCAGAAGGGATTGCAAAGTGAAAGAACTCTCCCATTCCATGAAATAGCTCCTTAGAAATTGGAGCTCGGGTTTTTGAACAGGCAGAAGAAAACTTCATGTATAATCCAAGTAAAATCACATTCAGCCAATAGGAAATACTGATTGCTAATGCCCCTCCAAGGTGATCCAGCCCAGACTTGAAGACTAGAACCCAACAGAGGGGAATATGGAACAAAAGGGTCCTCAAATTGTAGCTAGTTAACAACTCAAGCATCATCATTCTTCTTTGCATTCATTGGTTGCAAGTAGTCAATTTGAACTTCTCCTTCATTGTTTATTCATTCTTTCTTTATTTTTTCAATGATGGAAGCTTGCATGCATGTCCTAGAGCATAGATGAAATTGATTGCTTCTTCTTTTCATTTGGCATTGGTGGAAAACACTTAATATCTACAAATAACCACTCATTAAATATAAAACAAGATTGGAAAGAAAACAATATAAATACTCTAATAGATTTACATAATACAAAAGAAAATACTAACAACTATAAATTTAAGGATAAAACTTGTATTAATTTTGTGCTCATCAGATTATCAAGAGATTATGAGTTAGAAAGTAGACCTGCTTTTCCCAATTTGTACAAGTTGTTACAAAAGAGAGCAAGATGGTTTGCACCAAAGAACCAACTTGTATTCCAATCCAGAGTCCCCTTCCTCTAAAATGCACCCAGAAAGCCAATATTGCAGCAACTGGAATTCCACAAAGATAAAATGCTCCAAGGTTTATGTAAGCCCCTATATGCTGCCACTCAGTTCCTCTAGCAACACCTGATTAAAAATTTACAGAAAATATAACACTAGATGAAATTGTTTCTTAGGTAGATGGAAAATTGCTTATTGCTATAGAGCAACCAACCTGAAAGGACCCCTTGCAAGCTGTCTAGTATAACAGACAGGCAAACTAGAGGAGCCATGGTTGTGACGTAATCGATGACTTCTTTCTCATTGCTAAAGGTGTAACCGAATACATTCCGGCAGGCAAAGAGAGTTGTGGTTATTATACTCGTCTCAGAAACTGCAAGAAACATCGCAGCACAAGTAGCTATACGGGCACCTTGCGGATTACCAGCTCCTAGTTCATTTGACACTCTAGTACTGTATAACACCCAACAAAAACAGAAGAAGATACTTTATTACTTGTTAGATATCTGTTTATGCAAATTTAACTGCATTGACATTAGTAGTTGATGTAGTACAGCCTGTAGGTATTAGATTAAGCACTTAAACAATCGAATAGAGAAGAATATAAGAGATCGAGGAGAAGTAATATAAATCAAAAAGACGAGATAAAGGGCCTAGTATTACAAAGAGACCAATTCCAAATTGAGAAACTGGTTTTAAAATTTGTACTAGTTTTTAGAAGATCTTCCTCGGTATCTGAAGGTGAACAAAAACATAAAACTTACCATACAGACAGAACTGAAGTTTCAAGAGCTGGATTTGGTAAAAGCCCAGACAGCAAGATAAGCAGCTCGAATGACCACCACTCAAGGCTACAATCATCAAGAAGAATCAATAAGAAAGGACATTGGAGATGGAATATTTTATGAAAGCATAAGGAAAACTTTTCTAAAATAGCTACCATGGCATGAGTGCAGAAGGGATTGCAAAGTGAAAGAACTCTCCCATTCCATGAAATAGCTCCTTAGAAATTGGAGCTCGGGTTTTTGAACAGGCAGAAGAAAACTTCATGTATAATCCAAGTAAAATCACATTCAGCCAATAGGAAATACTGATTGCTAATGCCCCTCCAAGGTGATCCAGCCCAGACTTGAAGACTAGAACCCAACAGAGGGGAATATGGAACAAAAGGGTCGTGACAGAGCTTATGAGCATAGGTTGTTGATTATTGGCTCAAATTGCACCCACGTGTGTTGATAGTTTCTTCATGATGGCTGCCACACTAGCCATCACATGGCCAAAGGAAGAATTGTGTCAGCCGACCAAATATTGTGGGTGGATGCATATATATCCATACCAAAGATAAAGGAAGACAAACTAAGGTGAGAGAAAATATAGCAGTGTAGGTATGAAGTCCAAGTTTCTGATATTGCTCAGCTCCATATGCTTGCCCACATAAAGTTTCCAGTGCACTAGCCATTCCTAGCTGTTAGCACGTTACAAAATGTACTTAAGTTTCTAACTTTCTACGAACAAACAAACAGTTGGACATCAAAAAAACAAATCCAAAATGCAGATAATATAAGAAGAAAGAATGAATGTAAAGAACAGATGAGGATGCGGACGAAGACTTACAAAAAGACTAAAGCCGGTGACCCCGGAGAGGGAGAGGGCTAGGGAGGAGCTTGAGAGAGCAAGCTCACCCAGGTGACCAACCATCATCATTGAACTGACCCGCAACAAGTTCTGAGATAGAATCACAGCAATCATGGGTCCTGCTATGTAACACAACCTCTTCACTTCTTGGAAGAAAGAACCCCAAGTTAGAATCTTCGCGTCCACTTCGGCCATGTCCTTTGTCTCTAGGACGTTGTAGTAGCAGCATAGATTCTCCAAATTTCCATTATGTTTGATATATTATTAAATTAAACGCACTTGCCAAATGTTCATGCAATCTATTGCTCTGTTTGCACAGGGTACAAGAAAGATAGGAGAGCAATCTCTTATCGTAAATGATTGGTTAACTCGATCAGAAACTCATTCTAATGGTGCTGAATGATCAAGATTAACATAACCAATTATATGCATACCAGTTCATATGTATTGATGATGTGTAATTTTGAAAGGCTAAAAACTATGTGGATTGAACATCTAAGGTTTTTTTTACCTAGATTGACCTTAGGTCCCTTCATACATTCATATCATACATGAAAAATTGTTTTATGTAAAAATATTGACTGAGTATGAAAAAAAGTTTTTCGGAATAATCATTTTCTCAAGATAATTTTTGGCGGGGTTTGCGTTCCTTTAAGAACAAGTCTACAAAGTGAGATTATTGATTTAAGAACAAGACTACAAAGTGAGATTATTGATTTAAGAACAAGACTACAAAGTGAGATTATTGATTTAATCCCCAGCACCGTCTTGTGTAGAATAAATCCAACTGAGCATATTTTTTAGCTAAAAAAGAATGGATACAACTGATACTCTTGTGGCACAATCCATTATCCACCAGATGCCGTCCCCTCAAATATCCTCTTCCTTGCTTTACTTGCCTGAATGTAGAAAACCCAACATAGAGGCAAGTTACAACCTTGATGAAACGTTGTGTCTATGATTGACTGCAAGTTACAGCCTTGAATTTCACAGTCCAGCCGAATGTTCCAATGACGGAATCATATTATACCCTTTGTCTTTTTCAGGGTGCCGCTTAGTTTACAAGAAGATATAAGGAAGTACCAAACCAAAGGGGAAGTCTGAAGAAAATTATCACATCTTGGGATAGTCTTAGTAAATGTACACACCAGCTTCTTGGCAACCAGAGGAGATTGGAAATCAAGGTACAGAACATCAAAATTATATAGAGAGATTAAAAGTTAGAAAAATACCTCATTTTCCCAATTTGTTCTAGCTGTTGCTGATTATTACAGAATTGCCAAGGAAAATAAACCAAATGTGAATTTTGGCTTGCATTGCTTATGTGAATTATATCATTTATTAAGGATAAATTGCAGAAAAATCTAACTCAACAGAGTTTCTGTTAACTTTCCACATTTTATCATGATAAAATTTGCTGATTGAGAACTTTCAGTACTTCAAAGGAGATGGCTCTTTCTTGCCAGATATTTCAGTAGCCTAGACTTGCCACCTACGTTCTACTTCACACATTGTGCAGCGACTGCAATGCTATCTGGGCACTGTGTTGCAGTCAGGGACGTCTCTCTCTCTCTCTCTTGCACATAGTCATGACTAAATGGCTTAAGCTAATACTCTCATTACTTTAAGTAAGTTTCTTGTTAATATCACGATAGAAAGAACTATGCTAATCAAAACTCATTACTTTCTGCCTTGTCGCACAATCCATTAACTTCTGGAGGCCTTCCCTCAAATATCCTCTCCCTTGCCTTACTTGCCTGAAACATCAAAAGCCCATGATCAACTTAACAAGGCAAAATGAGGCCATGTTTAATGAAATGATGTGTCTTTCGGATAGGTGCTCTGTTTAATTGCCAAGAAGAAAGAAGGAAATACCAATGCAGTGGGGGAGTTTGAAGAAAAAAAAACTCATTTTGGGATATAGTTTATGTAAATGGATTAGAATAGCACTCATAAGATACAAAATATTCTTCATCTTCACTCCCAACTTCTTAGCAACCAAACAGAGAATTTTGGAAATTAAGGTGGAGAAGATCGACGTTATCAAGAGACTAGAGGTTGAGGAACAGACCTGCTTTTCCCAATTTGTACAACTTGTTACAAAAGATAGCAGTATGGTTTGCACAAAAGAACCAACTTGTATTCCAATCCAAAGGCCCCTTCCTCTTAACTGTACCCAGAAAGCCAATGTGGCAGCAACTGGAATTCCACAAAGATAAAATGCTCCAAGGTTTATGTAAGCCCCTATATGCTGCCACCCAGTTCCTCTAGCAATACCTGATTAAAAATTTACAGAAAATATAACACTAGATGAAATTGTTTCTTAGGTAGATGGAAAATTGCTTATTGCTATAGAGCAACCAACCTGAAAGGACCCCTTGCAAGCTGTCTAGTATAACAGACAGGCAAACTAGAGGAGCCATGGTTGTGACGTAATCGATGACTTCTTTCTCATTGCTAAAGGTGTAACCGAATACATTCCGGCAGGCAAAGAGAGTTGTGGTTATTATACTCGTCTCAGAAACTGCAAGAAACATCGCAGCACAAGTAGCTATACGGGCACCTTGCGGATTACCAGCTCCTAGTTCATTTGACACTCTAGTACTGTATAACACCCAACAAAAACAGAAGAAGATACTTTATTACTTGTTAGATATCTGTTTATGCAAATTTAACTGCATTGACATTAGTAGTTGATGTAGTACAGCCTGTAGGTATTAGATTAAGCACTTAAACAATCGAATAGAGAAGAATATAAGAGATCGAGGAGAAGTAATATAAATCAAAAAGACGAGATAAAGGGCAAAAACAGTAGAACAAAGAAGAATATTGGAGATCGAGGAGAAGAAAATCAGAGAGTTCTAGGAAAAGGTTTACTCAACATTCAAATCTGAATTTTAAAGAACTACATGGGGTTATTTGTAGCAAACTAAAACCTAAAAATAATAGGATAAAAATCTCTTGCTTAAACAGAAATCCTAACCCAAATAAAATAGGAAACTTAAAACTAGAAATATGGAAATCTGGAAAAGTAGAAATCCTACTAGTAATTGGAAAACCAGAGAATCTAGGAAACAAAAAAATACATTAGGAAACTAATAAATTTAGGTCCTGCGTGTCTTGCATCAGTAGTATACAAATATGCAATCTGATGCTATATAAGTGTTTGAACGTACCTTGCTGCAGCACCAAACCCATATGGTATGGAAACTTAAAACTAGAAATATGGAAATCTGGAAAAGTAGAAATCCTACTAGTAATTGGAAAACCAGAGAATCTAGGAAACAAACAAATACATTAGGAAACTAATAAATTTAGGTCCTGCGTGTCCTGCATCAGTAGTATACAAATATGCAATCTGATGCTATATAAGTGTTTGAACGTACCTTGCTGCAGCACCAAACCCATATGGTATTGCATATAGTGTTGAAATCGTCTGAAGACTGTCCACATCAATCGATTAGAATGATCAGATTTTTTATGGAATTGATGTATCTCTTGCTAGTATTACATGGTGATCAAATTGACAAATTGATTTTATCATTCCTACATAATTGTTAAAATATCTGCTCTGTTTCTGAACTGGAACACAAACAGAATATTTACCATACAGACAGAACTGAAGTTTCAAGAGCCGGATTTGGTAAAAGGCCAGACAGTAAGATGAGCAGCTCAAATGACCACCACTCAAGGCTACAACCATCAACAAGAATAAGTAAGCAAGAAAGGACGTTTGAACTCTAAGATAAAATATTGTAAGAAACTAAGCATATTGAAATCTCTTCTTGAAATAATACAGGGAGATAAACTGGTTACCATATCATTATTGCAGAAGGGACAGCAAAGCGAAAGAACTCTCCAATTCCTTGGAATATCTCCTTAGAAATTGGAGCTCGGGTTTTTGAACAGGCAGAGGAAAACTTCATGTATAACCCCAGCAAAATCACATTTAACCAATAGGAAATACTGATTGCTAATGCTCCTCCAAGGTTATCTAATCCAGACTTGAATACTAGAATCCAACAGAGAGGAATGTGGAACAATAGGGTGGCGAAAGAGCTTATAAGCATGGGAATTATCAAACTTTGTGTCTGAAAGTACCTAATGAGTGGTTGAAGAGTGGCATAAGCAAACAGAGCAGGAAGAAGCCAGGTTGTGAATTTGCCAGCTTCATGAGAAATTACAGGGTCTTGACCCATGAAAATCAGTATCTTCTCCATATATATCCATATCAAAGATAAAGGTAGGCAAACTAAGTTGAGAGAAAATATAGCAGTGTAAGTTTGAAGTCCAAGTTTCTGATATTGCTTTGCTCCATATGCTTGCCCACATAAAGTTTCCAGGGCACTAGCCATTCCTAACTGTTCAAATAGCAAAGTTAGACAATGTACTTAGTTATTGGAGATAGATTATATATAGCCAGTAGAAAATCTATCTGGTAAACCCCATAGAATGTTGCTTAACTCACAATCATGCTCTATTTTCTTTTAGCAGTATCCATGCATGGCTACTGGCTTCAATCTTGCTTTACTACAATAAAGCTCGTCATTCTTTCGCTATTAAAACTACATCTACATTGAAAAGAGTCTTAACTTGCAAACAGGGGTCTAAGTTCCGAACCCCATGGCAATGTGGTTGTGTGTGTGAGAAAACCCCCCTCCCCCAATATAGCTGGTACCAAAAAAAAACAACAAAACTACATGTATGCTGAAATTCGTACTTAATTATTCTTAAGTTTTTTTCTGCAGTACAAAATCCATAGAGTTTTTTTTTTCGTACAGGAAGCATATTAGCTGACAAAGTATGTATGAAAAGACAAAATGATCTGAATGTGCATTGTTGTCTGCAGTGAATATGGAAACATGCCCTGCAGCCCAGCTGCCCTAGGGTCCAGTGAAACTCACATTACTTTTTATAATCCGTGATTGGGCGCCATTATAGTGGCAAAGTCCTAATGAACCTCTTATAATATAATTAATCAAATAAAACCTTTGGGCAGCAAACAAACAATACTGAAAAGAACTTAAAACGACACACAGGTCAAGGGACCAAAAGCTGTGGGCCTAAACGCTAAAATACTGAAAAGAACTAAAAACGACACACAGGTCCCCCATCTCCAGTCCAGTGGAATTGAGTCATTTATTTTAGCACGTCTTTAATATAGTTCAGTAAAACCGCTTCCCTATAGAATCCAAGAAGCAGTCTTGGGTGTCGTATGTATTGGACAAGACCAGAGGAAGTGATTAAATTTAAAAAAATAAAAAATAAAAACTACCCAGATGCAACTGGCTGAAGATCAGAACAAATTCAAGTGCAACCATTTTTAGTCACGAGAGCTCAAAAAAGGGAAGTACTTTTATCCCGTCTAATTTGCATTTCCACAAACAGAGACCAAACAAGAACAGCTGTGGTGGACTGGACCTTCAAAACCATAATTCCAATATATATATATATGTATGTATAATTAAATGCAGAAAAAGAAAATCAAGAAGATGGAAAACTTACAAAAAGGCTAAAGCCGGTGACCCCAGAGAGGGAGATGGCTATGGCGGTGCTAGAGAGAGCAAGCTCGCCCAGGTGACCAACCATCATCATTGAAATGACCTGCAACAAGTACTGAGATAGAATCACAGCAACCATAGGCCCTGCTATGCAACCCAGCCTCTTCACTTCTTCAAAGAAAGAACCCCATGTCATTAGAGTAGAAGCACTTGAATCGCTACTGCTTTTATTCCTTTGTTGTTCATCTTCTCTATATTTTGGCAATAACAAGCTCTCTTCCATGTTTGAGTCTGCCAGGAAATCAATCGTCGCCGCCTCCTCACTAGCTGAACAGCCTATTGACGTTGGAGCTTTGGAAAATATATGAAGAGAGAAAGCAAAAAGTAATGACATTTCGCGAGCATTATATACGCAGAGGTCAAAAAATTTGCATTTTTAACCAAGTGGTTGGTATGAGTGGTTCGGCACTTTCATTCCTTAAGAGAGGTCAGGGGTTCGATCCTGCTCTCGTAAGGAGTCACCAATTTGACCAACACTTTACCCCTTACGGGCCGATCCGGTGTGAGTAGGGATTAGTCTGGTTTGTGGTTAAGGCTTAAAAGTGCCACCCATAATTGGAGCCCATCCAGGACCACCTCATGATTTAAGACCAAAAAAAAAAAAAAAAACAGAGGTCAAAAAATTTGCATTTTTTATGGCTCCTGCCTGCGTAGAGTAATGATTACAGGCAATACTTAAAAATCTTATCTTTTTCTTTTTCAATTCAAAAATCGGTTCATTTTTTACTAAGGTTTTATTTTCTATTGGTGAAAGTACTTTGGGCTTAGTCCACCATACAGCTTGTTGGGCTTTAAAAGGGATTTTGGACTAATCGCTAAAATGACACTTTTGGACGTTCTAGCATTATTATTATATTCTATACATTTTATTATTTGACGTTTGACCTGTCTTTCTCTCTGTCTTTGTCTTTGTATTTTTTGTTTTTTGGATGGAATGTCCTGTGATTACCAATAAACAATCATTCAGTTTCAAGTGGCAAAGATGCTATTTTTTTTCTCAGAATGGCAGAAGTGAGCTCAAGTGTTAAGAGTCCTCTAATTCCAAACCAAGAAAGAAGCCATGATTTGGACGTTCTAGCATTATTATTATATTCTATACATTTTATATTTGACGTTTGACCTGTCTTTGTCTTTGTATTTTTTGTTTTTTGGATGGAATGTCCTGTGATTACCAATAAACAATCATTCAGTTTCAAGTGGCAAAGATGCTATTTTTTTTCTCAGAATGGCAGAAGTGAGCTCAAGTGTTAAGAGTCCTCTAATTCCAAACCAAGAAAGAAGCCATGAATTAGAGGGTGCAACAATATCCCAACAAGGATTTAGAAGAGGGGCTTTTGTTGAAGAAGCAAAATTGCAACTGTGGCTAGCCGGGCCTCTTATTGCGGTTAGCTTGTTGCAGTACAGTTTACAAGTCACATCAGTCATGTATGTTGGTCATCTTGGAGAGTTGGCACTTTCCAGTGCTTCCATGGCCTCTTCCTTTGCTTCAGTCACAGGATTCAGTGTCTTGGTAACTGGTTTTCTCTTCAACTTCACTTGTTTGAATTTTGTCCCTTTTTTTGTCTCTGTTGGTCATTTGTTTAAGTGATCAGCCTAAGTAAACTTTCTTATATTTTCTTATATTGATGATTTTGCTTTCTCTCAAAAATATCAAACATGTCTCACAGTTGGGAATGGGAAGTGCATTAGAGACACTATGTGGACAAGCCTATGGAGCCAAACAGTACAACATGCTTGGAGTTCACATGCAAAGAGCAATGCTAACATTATTAGCAGTAAGCTTTCCCCTAGCGCTGTCTCTGTTGGTCATTTGTTTAAGTGATCAGCCTAAGTAAACTTTCTTATATTTTCTTATATTGATGATTTTCCTTTCTCTCAAAAATATCAAACATGTCTCACAGTTGGGAATGGGAAGTGCATTAGAGACACTATGTGGACAAGCCTATGGAGCCAAACAGTACAACATGCTTGGAGTTCACATGCAAAGAGCAATGCTAACATTATTAGCAGTAAGCTTTCCCCTAGCGCTCATTTGGTTTTACACAAGCACCATTCTCATGGCTCTAGGCCAAGACCACGATATATCCACTGAAGCAGGAACTTTCAACCAGTGGATGATTCCAAGCCTCTTTGCCTTTAGCCTCCTTCAATGCCTCAATAGATTTTTACAGACACAGAACAATGTGTTTCCAATGATGATAAGCTCTGGCGTCACAGCTTTTCTTCACATTATGGTTTGTTGGGCACTTTGTTTTAAATTTGGACTAGGAAACAAAGGCACAGCGTTGGCGATTAGCATTTCGAATTGGGTTAATGTGTTGTTATTGGCAAGTTATGTGAAGTTCTCGTCGGCCTGCAAGAACACTTGGACAGGATTTTCGGAAGAGGCATTGCATGACATATTCAGCTTTATCAAGCTTGCCATTCCATCAGCCATAATGATATGGCAAGTTTCTTCTTCTTTCCATTAACTATTCTTAGTTACTACGTATGTTTCTTTTTCCCCTTAATTACTAACTTACTATACTCTTCTGAATTGCAGCTTCGAATATTGGTCCTTCGAAATGGTTGTTCTCTTATCTGGTCTTCTACCAAACCCAAAACTAGAAACATCTGTGTTATCAATAAGGTACCTTATCAAACTTAACAGAAGAATAATAGAAGAAAAAAAATGTGAGTTTACATTTTCGTAATAGTATTTTATCAATATATATCTATTGGTGGCAAATATGTTAAACTCCTTATATGTTCCTTGTTAGTATGAAAGTTCAAATTAGTTCTGATTTTTTATTCTGCTCGCAGCCTTAACACATGTTGGATGGTCTATATGATATCAGTTGGTCTTGGCAGTGCAATAAGGTCAGTAATGTCATATGTTAACAATCTCCTTGAAGATAATGCTGCTTTTCTTTTCTCCTAAAAACAATCCTCTGTTATCGTAATAGCACAAGAGTGTCGAATGAATTGGGTGCTGGACGACCACAAGGTGCCCAATTAGCCCTAAGAGTCATGACCATAATGGCTTTATCAGAGGGTGCTGCCATAGCAACAGCTACAGTTTTGGTACGCTATGTTTGGGGAAAGCTCTACAGCAACGAGAATGAAGTGATCATATATGTTGCTAAAATGATGCCACTGCTTGCACTATCTGACTTCTTGGATGGATTTCAATGTGTGCTTTCAGGTCCTGACATATTACTGAATCCAAAGGCTTCGTGATAGTTGAAACTTCCACATTTAAAGTACTTTATTATCTTTTCTAAGTTCTCAGTTCTAGCTGCTAAAAAGAATATAATTGACTATCTAGGAGCTGCCAGAGGCTGTGGATGGCAAAATCTTTGTGTACTCATAAACCTTGGGGCTTACTATGTTGTGGGAATTCCTACTGCTGTGCTGTTTGCTTTCATCCTCCATATTGGAGGTATGGTGAGTCTCTCTCTCTCTCTCTCTCTCTCTCTCTCTCTGCCATTGAAGTTTAGATTTGTGTGAATAGGGGCTTTGGATGGGAATCATTTGTGGACTTCTTGTTCAAGTTACAGCCCTTGTTGCGGTAAATGTGTGCACTGATTGGTATGAGGAGGTAAGTTTGATAAAACATTTCGCCTGGCTAAAGACGGTCTTTATTCTCCCTTGCTAAAACAGTTTGTCTATGTTTAATACAAGCTTTTTATCTAATTTCTTTTCATTTCACATTTCAGGCAACGAAAGCTGCGAATAGAGTTCAAAATACAGTCTTAGTCATTGACAAGGCAACATAGGTTTGTTTATGAAACAGGTCAAAACAACTTCTTTTTTTTTTTTTTTGCTTCTGTTTATGATAGAAAGGTATTGTCATGACAAACCAGTTAAAATAGAAAGAACTTACATTTGAATGAGAGCAAAGTTTTACATATGTGAGAGAGAATGAAAATATTGGTGTTTTGATAACTTGACATCTAGATGAACAAGATTGATTTGCAATATAGAAATCTCTTGTGCCATTTTATTTCATGAATCTGGGTACTTTGATAGTTGTTTGTAAGCGTTTACTCAGCTCAGTCCGCTTGTGCTTGCCTTTCTTCAGTAAGATCAGTAAATCACGGTTCATTGGGAAAACGGTTCTGCATGGAGTCAAACTCTGCCATTGGCCTACAATTGGTGAGCTCCAACCAACGTGACTCCTACCCGGATTCCCTTATTCAGGGTTGCAAGGATTTTCTCAAAGGATCGTGAAGTTATTTGCAAGCACGTCTACCACCAGAGTATAGTTTGTGCGGGTTAGGTGGCTAGTATTAGAGAGAAAAACATGTCACTGCACACATGTTTCCAGGACTGCCAATATTTGCATTCCATTTTCTATTCCATTTCCAGAGCCCTCATTCCATGCCACCCAATACATGATTATATCATTTCCGTAAGACAGATGTGCACTAGGATTATGAATAATGAAGTTCCAGAATTTCAAATATGAGACAATGTATACAAACATTGTTAACCCCACGTACCACATCTTATCAACCCAAAAATAAAAGGATGACACAAAAAATTCCAATCAACACTCTAGTGACTATGTTACAAAAACTTTTAAAAAATGGGGGTGTTTGAAATCTAATAAAGTTATGTCACCTGAAATGATCACCATGCCAAAATTTAAAGTAGATATATGACGATTTGTTGTTATACAGCTACTTCAAATTTTATTACTGCACACGGACCGATGATACAGGTGATAGGGGTCGTTCTTCTCCCTTAATGTTTGCTTCAGTTGCACGATCAGGCGAAGGAGGGGGCTGCTTTGTTTCAGTTCCATGATCAGGTGAATGAGGGGCCTGCTCCTCATGTTCGTTGTTCTCGGGTTGAAAATTAATAGGGAACTTTGTGACTCTAGGCTTGTCAGCCAAAATGTTTCTCTGAACCCTATCAACCAACACCTTAGACGGAGGTTCCTCCCTTAGCTGTTCATCATCATAATCATTGTTCACATAGTACCCCACTCTAACAAACTCCTGCCCCAGATAAGAACATGTCAATAGCAGTACAGTGACACCAATGATATCTTCCTCGCGTATTTTTGACGGATCTGGAGGGTCTGCCTGCCAGGAGACCAAAACATACACACACAAACAGGAAAGGATTTAGCTTTACATCCATATAAGAAAGGATTTAGCTTCACATCCATATAATATTGGAGCCAAAAAACAAACTTTAACTCGGAAAAAGGAATCAGTATAATTACCTGAAAGACAAAACGGTAGTTTCCAACATTGACAGGACCAACAAGCACACTCTCCAATAGTTGGTCATAAGTCTCATCTTCAGCAGATCCCACATATATGAGCTTCCATTCCAAGTCTGTAATAAATTG